TTCTATCTACGGGACAGGAATAAAGGTTTGAAATATTTTCTGTGCGGGGAGGGAAGTCCTGCTAAGAATATCTGCTACATAAGCCGGTAAAACGATTTCTCTCAAAAATGTTGTCTTTGGATGATTTTTACAAATTAATTTAAATAAAATATTATTTTTTATATTTTTATTTTCGAAATAGTCTATACCTATGCCAGTATAAGAAAAATATGTTTTACAAAATTTTACGCAGTTTGGCAGTTTGGAAAAATATTTTTAATAATATTATTGTATTTTAAAAAAAGTTTAACCCTTTATAAGTTAGGAAAATATTTTTTTTAAAGTTTACGTCTATGGCATGTTAGGAAAAATATTAAAAAAAAAACCACTCATGTGGCAGTTTAGGATAAATATTTTTAAAAAAGTTTAAGACTATTCGAAGTTGGGAAAAATATATTTTTTAAAAAGCCTACAATTATGGCAGGTCGGGAACGACTATGGGAATTAAAAAAAAAAAAAATATTAAAACCTGCCCAATCTCCAAAAAATGAATAACTTTGGAGGGGTAACGACAGATGGCTGCTGCCCTACAAAATTGGACCAATAATTTTCTGGCAAGAGTTCTTCAATATTGATAACCTGAAATTGCAAATAAGGCTATCGGTTTTACAAATCGGCGGCTTTTTCGTCCAAAAATATGTAGAAAACTCGATGGGTTTTTAGTCTTACTAAAACATTAAAAAAACACCCCTTTAAAGTCTCACTAAAAATATTTGTGTATAAAAATGTTGTAAGAAATCCACGCCTTTAAAAGTCTTCCAAAAATAGTTTTAAACCAGTGAGCGGAGCAGTATAGTCGGACGGGGCCGATCATATGATACCCTACACAACTTTCACGAAAATCTAACATTCTGTGATTCTATATTCTGAGTTTGGGCAATATTCCACGATATTTGCAACCTCTTGATCGACTAGAGGTTAACAAATATTAATAATTTTCAGTACAGCCCTTCTAATTACTTGTCCAGATTCCAGTCCAGTTTGCGGAGCAGTATAGTCGGACGGGGCCGACCATATGATACCCTACAAAACTTCCACGAAAATCTAACTTTCTGTGATTCTATATTCTGAGCTTGGACAATATCCTACGATATTTGCACCCTCTTGATCGACTAGAGGTTAACAAATATTAATAATATTCAGTACAGCCCTTCTTATTACTTGTCCAGATTCCCTTCGCCGTGGGTTGTGTTGTGATGTTCGGCTTTCAATTGTGTCCTATAGATTGGTTCGAAAAAACACCAAAGTATTTAGTTTTCGGTCCACATCATCCACAAAATTATTAGCTGATCATCACCGAAAATTATAGGCGTCGTACTTGACCATACCAGGATCTTCATGGAAAGCGATCAGCGCTATATTTCCGTCCTCTAGTGTGGTAATGGATTAATAAATAGTATTTGAATCCGTAAGCACATATTAAAATCTAAGTTTAACTCCCACATCTGAGAACATACGTTAATACAATTTAAAGGTCAACTACTCCTCTTGGATATAGTGTCAACTTCTCAGGTCTATGTCCATCAGGAGTAAATATATACGCCATAGAATAAAAAATGTATAACACAAAAGTCAGGGTTCATTTGAGCCGCTAAATAATAACCGATCTTTATCAAAACAGGCATGCTTATTCTTTGGCCCGATTTCCTTCTCCATGTAAAATTTTGCGGCGCTACAAACTCTTGGGGCTGCTGCACAAAGCTATAATACCCTGACAACTTATTTGTGTAGGGTATGAAAATCCACTCCTTTAAAGTCTTCCAAAAATATTTCTAAAAATCAAAGCCTTTAAAACTCTTGCAAAAACATTTTTAAAAAATCCACTCCTTTAAAAGTCTTCCAAAAAATCCGCGCCTTTAAGTATTCCAAGAACATTTTTAAAAAAATCCACTCCTTTAAAAGACTTCCAATTTTTTTTTTTTTAAATACACACCTTTGTAGTTCTTGAAAAAAAACTAATTCTAAAAATTCAAGTATTTGTAGTGTTTGAAAAAAATATGTCTACAAAATCCACGCATTTGTAGTATTTAAAAAAATTATTAAAAAAAATCTACAAAGGCGTTGAAAAAATATTTTCAAAAAATCCCCGCAGTTAAAAGCTTTCCAAAAAACATTTTTAAAAATTCAATGCCTTTGTAGTATTTCTAAAAAGAATTAAAAAAACACGCGTTTGTATTACTTGGGAAAATATATATTTTTTAAATATTTACGCGTTAATATCAATGGTGCTTCAAGAAAAAAATATATTTCGTTAATTTATAACCACGCCTTTTCATTCCTTCAAAAAAATATTTAAAAATCACCACCACTAATTTTTAACCACACTCTAAAGAAAAAACAATATTTTTAAAAAATCCAAACCTTTATAGTACTTAATGTTTTTATAAAAAATGTCCCCCTCTAATGGAACTTTATTTATAATATATTTTAAAAACTCCACATCTACATTCTCCTTGTTCTTCAAGATGTTTTTTAATCGGAACCTCGCCCAAGAAATAGTTCTTCAAGAATACAGTTCAAAAACGATACCTCGACAAAAGCAAAGTTAGAAAATAAAATGTGCCGAGGATCTATAGTGAATTTTTTTATAAGGAGATCTACTATAATAGACCTACTATTCTCAAAACCAGATGATAAATTCAATGGTTTCGTGATCAATCATGAGTCCTTTCCCCACCCCCTTCAATTTTTTGTAACAAAATTTCCTATACAAAATATATTTTAATTAATTATTTCATAATTTAATATTCCTTAATTTAATAATTCATTTGAAAAAATAAATTAATAGAATTTTGTATATGTTTGAATCATGTTTGCATTTTTCCTTTTTTGTTTTTTTATATCTTCACGCTTGTTTGCCTCTATTTCTAATTAAGAAAATGATTTATTTTTAGTTATAAATATTCATTTTATTAAAAAAAAAAAGAAATAATAATATAACGAAACAACAAAATCAAAATAAATTCAAAAATAAAAACTTGAACAAAAAATTAAAAACTTCACTCCTTGGTTTTGAAAAATATGTCAAAGAAAAAAATTAAATGTGAAAAAATTAGCATTATAAATTTTGCATATGAATATAAATAATCTTGGCTATATAAAAAAATAATAAAACAAAGCAGTAGATTAATGTTTCATATTTCACCAGAAAAAAAAAATAAAATAATGAAAAAATCTCCACATCATTTTCTGTTAATATTATATAAATTTCTAAACAAGAAAATATATAATCATGAAGATCTCTACAATCCAATTAAGCCACAACACAAATCAAAATTCATTTGTAATCAAATTTTAAACAAAATCTTTATAACCCACCCACACTTCTCTCTGGCAGTGGCCGAAAGTTGCAGAGGAAGGTGTAAACTTTATTTCATATCAAATAATATCATTGACAATGCACATAGTTAGCCCCTTATTTATACATATCTTTTAATATATAAGTATTTAGTTATCGATGTATATAAAAAGTCTTAACCAGATGTGCAAGGCAACCCACCCCACATCTTGTCTGTTGTTGTTTTATTTTTTATACAAACGCAAATCAAATGATGTGAAATAACGATACACAACAACACTGCTACTCACACCCATTAACAGCAGAAATAACAACAACACAGTTGTACAATACTCTCGCTCTCCCTTTGCTCAGCCATATATGGCTCACTCACTCTTATTTGTACTCATATGGAAAATAACTCTACCACTCATTCCTTGTGCCAACGGCACATACTAGGAGCCACTGTGTATTCTCACTCTCGTAAAGGAATTTATCTAAGCATTATGTGGTAGTGTTGTTAGTGGACAGGCGACCAACAGTTATTTGTACTCTCCCTCTCTCACATAGATAATATTTTCGTGTTGTGTTTGTCTCAAATATGAATGAATGAATTTTTCAAGAGGTTTGTGTTTTGTTGTTGTGTTGTGCCAGGCTACCAACAATGCCAATGATGATGATGATCGTTGTGTGAGAGTATGTGTGTGTGTGTGAGGAGACAGAGCATTAGCAGCGCAACGTTAACGACATCAACGGCGACGGCAGCATACAAGAATGAAATGAAATCTACAGAAAAAAAACCAAAAGAAAACAACTTCAAACATTGGTTAGTTGTGAGTTCAGTTCATTAACGGATGTCAAAGGTGCAAGAGGTACGGACGGATATTACGCGTGACTCTCGCATATTTTACACTTGATATTTACAAGAAAATATACTTAATACAAAAAATAACTACTACGCACAATAATCACAGAGCCCAGCAAACAATTTCTAATGGATAATTAATGAGATTTTGATGATAAAACTATCAAAGAAAAAAAATATATTTAATTAAAAATATAGAATTAAACGGAAATTAAAAAAAAAACAAGTGTGCGAATGAAAAACAAAGTGTGCTCAATTTTTTTAAAAATTTGTTTAATAAACAAAAAAATTAATTGTAATTGTTTAAAACAAATGTAAGACACCAAGAAGAAAAAAATAAATTTGTGTGCAAAAAAAAAAAATATGACAATCAATCAAGAATAACAACAAAAGAAAAATCAATTTAAATTGAAAACATTGCAAGTAGCACCAGCATATTTTGTTTCTTTGGTATTCAGCAAAATCTGTTTTTCATTTTTGTGACAAGCAACCAACATAAATGTCAAGTGGCCCACATTTGATACAACTAAACGAAAAATATTAATTAAAAATACTCCACTTAAAATAAATCTCTTGTTGTGTGGATGACGATATAAATAGTTAACATCAGAACGCCCCCATAAAACCAAAGAATAATTTTCAGTTTAAATGAAGTGAGAAAAAATCAACAAAAATCTCAATTATTATACTGTGCATCCCACTGTGTGTGTGTCTTGTCCAAAAGTCAATGAAGTTTTCTTGCTTGCTGCCAGCCCCTGAGAATTATTCTCCTTTTGTAAAAAATTCGCTACATATTTCCTGCTAAAAGCAATCGAAGCAATGCCGCCCTCTGCGTTTTTAGTTGGTTCTACCATTATAACAACACCAGCAACAACTCCAATACTAGCCAACCAAAAGGACATATCGCTGTTGAGCGCCAACAGCAACACTTCTCCCCTGAAGGCTTGTGTGAATCGTCAAAGTCCGATACAACACATTAAAACGGAATATACTCTGAATAACAACTGTCAATCGCTGCAGAATTTCAATTATTTGCATACCCCAAATAGTTCAGAGTTAAGTGATAAAATAACGGCGGCAAATATGGTTTTACAATCGTATAACAGTTATGAGCAATATCATTTGCAACAGCAACATCATGCTCAAACTGCAGCTGTGGCATTGGGCCAGCAACATTCACCACAATATACGGCCACAACGGTGCAACATAGTATGCAGCAGCAGCAGCAACAACATCAGCAACAGCATCATCATCACCAGCATCACCATCAGCAGCAGCAACAACAACACCAGCCACAAAATCCCAATTTATCTCCTTATCATCATCAAATGTATCACAGCCCGCCAACATCACAACCCCAACATTATCAGCAGCAGCAACAACAACACCACCAGCAACAACAACAACACCATCACACCCAACAACATCATCACTCCCAGCATTTACAACATCACCCCTCTGTCCAGCATCGTTTATCCGGCGGCAGTACAGGAGGTAGTAGTACAGCTTCATCTTCAATGTCCTCATCGGCCCATTCACCCTCAATATCCTCAAATACCTCCACACAAAATAATTCTGCCGTTGCCATTGCCACCTGCTCCACCACTTCCTCCTCCTCCACAACATCATCATCCTCAGCCACAACATCCTCCTGCCCTGTAACATCATCATTGGTCAATACATCATCCGCCGCCTCCTCCCTATCAACCGCCTCAACATCGCCGGCATTATCATCGTCCTGTACAACAACGGCTGGTCCGTTTTTGTCCGGAATTGGTAGTGCGGCCACGGCGGCTTCTTTGGGTATTAATTATTTCAATGATACCCTACCCTATGTGGGTGATTATAGTGCATCAACCGGCCAGCTGTATACCGATATTGATGCGAATTTTTTTAGTCAAGGTAAATTGAGTTTTTTTTTCTATTTCTTTATTGGATTTCGATTTTTTATAAGGGGAAAATACAATGAGGTCTGGTTTTTAGTTACCAATTAAAAAAATTAAGAAATTAGAGATTTTTTAACTATTAAAATTATTTTTATAATTTTTTTAGTTTGAAAAAAATAGGAAATTAAAAAGTATATATTTTTATAAAATTGATAAAATATATATTTTTTTTCAATAAAATATATCTTATAGGAAATTTAGAAATACGAATTTTGGAGAAAATAAAAAAATACTTTTTAAAAGAAATTAAGAATTTTAAAAATATATTTTTAAAAAAATATGTTTTATAAGAAATTTAAAAAATATTTTTATTTTAAAAATATAAAAAATATTTAAATATAAAAAAATATATATATTTTTTAAAAAAATAATAAAAGTAAAGTAAATAAATATTTTTTATTTAAAATTTAATATTTTTATTTAAAAATTAATATTTTTTATTTACAAATTAATATTTTTTATTGAAAAATTAATATTTTTAATTTAAAAAATATATTATTAATTGAAAAATATTTTTTAGTAAACTGAAAAAATTGAAATATTTTTTTTTTTTTTTTTTTTGGACGCGGACATTTTTTTTCTAAGGGATTATTTTTTTTCTCCAAAAGTATTTAATTTTTTCGAACAAAATTTCAAAAACTTATTTTATTTTTTCCTACATTCCAATTTTGTCCATCGCTTTTGCCTATAACAAGTCCCCACTGTCGCTTCAAGGGTTACATGTAATGTTTATATTTAAAGGTTACTTTGTGTAATTTGTTTTGAAAAAATAATTCTTGCACTTGTCTCCGGTTTTTTTTTTTTGTTTCCAAATGACACCATATGTCTGATACGGTCATGACTTTTTCCACATTTTTGTTATTATTTTTTTTTTTATTTCCAGAATGCAGGGGTGTTTTGTGCACATTACGTTTATGTGGTTGAACATTTGTTTACATTGTTGTACACGTTTTTTTATAAATGTTTAGGTTTAAATTTTTTTGACAAGGGTTTGAAAAAAATATGTTCTCCCTTCCAAAATGTGCAGCAACATGTTGTCAATGATTTGTTTACAAAAAACAATGTAGGTGGATTTTTTTTGTTTTGAAAAGGACATATTTTAAAATTTCGAAGACAATGTTTTTCGTTTTATTATAAATAAATAAAAATATGTTGAGGTTAGGTAATTTGTATTTTTACTAAAAATAACTTGAAAATTAAATGGAAATTTAAACCAATATTTTATTTGGAGAAATAAATTAAATACAAATTTGGAGTCATTTTGTAGCCATATTAAAAAAATATATATAATTAACTCTTAAAAAACTCTTTTTACGATTTAAACCCCTTTTCCAAACAAGTTTAATATTAAAAATCTCTCTTATTTACAAAACCTTCCAAATCTCCTTTCATTTCTAAAAATATTTTAATTAAAACCCGTTCTTCTTTGAAAATTGAATACATATTTACATGGCAAATTTTCCACAAAATGTAAATACACAACACCAGAAAATTAAAACAAATCCACCCACCAAATGTCTTCACCATTTAATATGAATAAAAAGTGTTAAGACAAGTCGCCCCCACCTTCCCTGGTGCTCAGACTCAGCTCTAACAAAGAACAATGACAGCAAGCATTTTGTGAGTGGATGGGGTTTTGTGTGTCTTAACTTGCTCGACTTTTTTCTCATAGAGCAGAACTTATTTTAATTACATTCACACGATATTAAATTAAAAGCAAAAAAACAAGGCATACAAATTATATGAATTTCACACCAGCAAGCAGCCAGTTAGTCATAACTAAATACAGAAATAATTATCACATCATCATCACTGGCACTGCCCCACCATCATTAAAGTAATAAAAATGAGAATTAGATTTGAATGAATCACAATCCTCTTCATTAGAAAATTTTCTGCAAACTAAAATCAGTCCTTAAATATCCCTTTTACAGTCCTTAAAATATCCCTTTTTATTTACCAAACATTTAATTTATTGCTCATTTCAAAAAAAGGCTGTTAAATACTTTTTAATTAAATTGTAATTGAAAAATCCTTTTGTTAAACAACGGCGGCGGTAACCCTCTTTAACCTCCTTGTTTCAATAATATCAATTATTGACATTTAACACACAAAACACACGCACGTACACACTCTGAGCAAATAACTGCAGGCCATCCTGTTAACAACCCCCCTCATCCCTTTCACAATCGTTGTAAAATGCATTACACTCAACAAGTAGCCAAACAGCCAGCCAACAACAACAACTACAACACCACAAAGAATTGGCAAACATACAATCATGTTTCATTGAAAATTACCTTAACCGACAACTCTCACACACACAATAGGTAGGGAGAGAACGAGAGATTAGGGAGGCAATTGATTGGGTGGTAAAACATACAAAAATTAAATACCAATCAAACATTGTTGTTGTATGGATGGCATCATTTAACTAAATCTCTGAGCATCCATCCCCATTGTGTCTCAAATGGGAATGAAAAACCGAAAAATGGGAGGAGTAACAAATAAACACAAAGTAGGAGAAAACTTAAAGCAACAACAAAACTGCGCAAATCATAAACATTAAATACAAGATTATTTTCTTTTAACAAAGAATTGAATTTAAGCAAGTAACAAATCTAATTTACACGAAAAATATATATTAGCAAAAAACAAAAACAAGCAACAGGTTTGTTTGCTTTGTTCCCCACCAAAACACCTCTCTCTCTCTGTCTCTACGTTATGCTCTTTCAGCCACCGTTAGCAGTGGCAGCTCTTCTAATACAAAAGCCCCAACAACACAGCTCTCTGCTCCACTGTGTGTAATGTGGGGAGAGGTTAGTGTTATGATGGGCTCTCTCTCCCATATATATTTTGTGTGGAGTTCTCTCTCCATTATCTTAGCTCTTACAATAGAGATGTGTAAAAGGGGAAAACAACAAAGAGTTTGTGTGAGCATGCATGTATATAACACACATTGTGGTGGGGGGACTTTTGTTATTGGTGTTGGTAATTCATTGGATTTTGATTGGTTTTCGAATGCACGTCAAATCATGAACGCTTTATGCGCATGATGACAATGTGAATGATGATGATGCAAAGCTCAATTCACCACCAACCAACCAACCACCACAACATTAGCAACAACAAACAGCCATGTAAACGTAGCATTTTAAAGGGGTTATGTGTTGGCCCGCCTCTCTGACATTATCTTTAAAAGATGTGTGAAATGAAATGGATGGGGAGGAAAATAATCTTAAGAAAAGAAAGAAACATAGATAAATAAAAAAGGAGAACATTAAAAATAAAATAAATAAAAGAATTAAATATAGGATTAAATGTTAAAAAATTGAATTTAAAAAATAAAAGCTAAATATTAAACATAAAAAAATTAAATTAGAAAAATCAAATACTAAAATATAAATAAAAACTCAAATATGAAAAAATAAATAATATAAAAAATAAAATTAAATGAAATGAAATAATAAAAGAAATAAATAAACAAATATATATTTAAAAAAATAATAACAATGAAGAAAATTAAATATTAAAAATTATAAAAGATTAAATTAAAAATAAAAAAGAATAAACATTTCATTCTAAAAATTTAAAAAATTGCAAATTAATAAAAAAAATGGTATAACAAATAAAAATTAATAAATAAATAAATAGAATACAAAAACAATTGATTAAAAAATATTTTTATAATTTAAAAAAAATTAATATTTATTGAAATATAATATCTAAATGATTTTTTTATTTTTTTTTTTAAATGAAAAGTTTGTTACTAATTAAAATATATTTATTTTTATTAATATTATTTCAATATTTATTTTGAATTATTTTTATTAATTTATTTTTATTTCTTGCTTTTCATTTTAGGTTATGGCTCATCAACCCACGATCGTAATAATAGCCCGCCACCACAACAACAACAGCAACAACAAAATGCTGTACAAAACTCAATGCTGCCACCCGCTCATGCAAACCAACAACAACAAAATGCCACAACGGCTGCCCAACCCAGCAGCCTATCGCCCAATAGTGCTAATAGTAATACTAACAACAACAATAATAACAACAACACTGGTGCCAATCTCAACTACATGCAAATGTCGATGCGTAATTCAGCTGTTGCCGCTGCCGCCTTCTACAATCAACATCAAATGAAGGAGGAACCCGGTACCCAAACAGCCTATGGTAATCTCGCTGGCTCGAATTCCGCCAATGATCCCACCGATCTCACAACACAATTTGGCCTATCGCCTGCCCATTTGGCCAATGCCAATGCTGTGGCAGCAGCCGCCGCTGCTGCTTCTTCTGGTTACGATGATAGTGATTATCACAGTACCACCATGTCGTCACAGGATCATCAAGGCCAGGCCACCAACAATTATTTAGATAACAATCCCGCCGATTTTTATGGTCTAAATGTTGAACAGAAATACAATGCCTATGGCCGTTCAAGATTTCATGATGCCTATTCACCGGAATTTTCACCCTATGATACACCCCAATTTCCCAGTATGGCAGCACAGGCCGATCAATGGGCCAGCCATCATGGAGCTCAACATCCAGCTGCTTATCTCTCGTCCATGTGTTTGGATAAGGCTTTATTAGGTGGCTATTCCACACAGGGTGGTGTACCATGTTTCCAAGGCTCGGGACCCATTCAGCTATGGCAATTCTTATTGGAATTGCTGATGGATAAGACATGTCAGGGATTCATTTCGTGGACCGGTGATGGTTGGGAATTTAAATTAACCGATCCAGATGAGGTAAGTTTTGAAAAATAATGCAAACGGAAAATATTTTATAGGGTATTAATGAAATGTTTTCTTCTTCTTGTTGTTTTTAGGTTGCCCGCCGTTGGGGTATACGCAAAAATAAACCAAAAATGAATTATGAAAAGCTAAGCCGAGGCCTACGTTATTATTATGATAAAAATATTATTCACAAAACAGCGGGTAAACGTTATGTTTATCGTTTCGTTTGTGATCTGCAAGGTTTAATTGGGTAAGTTTCAAAACAATAAATTTTTATTATATTTTTATCAAATAGGTATAAGGAATTTATTTCTAATTAACTTCGCAACTATTCTCTATAACAGGGTAACACAAATGTTCCGAAAAATATACCAATTTCCACACTTTCTTAGTAATTAATTTTAGAAGGCCATAATTTATGAAGCAGTGGTTATTTTTCAATGTTTCCAAAAATTGTTAAAAGAAAAATATCTAATTTTAATGCTGATATACGTTTTTCGTGTATAAAAATACAATTATTGCAATTATTCCCAAAAATATGCAAGTTTTTAATTTTTCACATTTCATAAATTTTTTTCGTAAGCAATTTCATGGTCCCATAACTTTGAAGGCAGTTGAGGTATTTTAATGATTCAAGTGGATTCTGCTAGATAAATATCTAGTTTTAAAATCAACATTTTGATTTTGTTGCACCTCACCAAATACCTGAGTTATGGTAAAAATTTTACATTTACCTTAATTTTGATTCACCTTGTATTTTTTGTGCAATCAACTTTAGGGGAGCATAACTTTGGAATTAAGAAGGATATCTTAATGAACTTAAATGAATTTGAAAGATAAATATATTATGCTAAAATAAAAATTTTTATTTAAATGTACCCCACCAAACACCAGAGTTAGAGGAAAAAGTTAATGTGTAATACAATTTTTATGCTCTTTGAATATTTTGGGTAATCAATTTTAGGGGGTCATAGCTTTGAATTTAATGGAGATAATTTAACGAAATTAAATAATTTTGAAAGATAAAAATCTACGGTTTAAATATAAATTATTGTTTTGATTTAACCCATTAAAGTTCGTGGGCAACACTATGTTAATTTTCATAAAATATTTTGAGTAATAAATTTCCAAGTGGCATAACTCTGTGAGTAATAGGGTTAGCTTAGTAAAATAGAAGGATTTTACTAGATTAAAGTCTCAATTTTAAATCGAAATTATTAAATGGGTGTAAGTCTTTAATCAGCAAAGTTATGGGAAAAAGTTCATTATTACCTTTGTTGGCATTTTCTTATTCTCTTTTTTGGCAATAATTTTCCAAGGGCCATAACTTTGTAATCTAAAGGGATATCTTAATGAAATACAAGGATTTTAAAAGATAGATATCTAAACTAAAATTAAAAATTATTATTTAGAATTATCTAAATAAATAATCGAGCTAGGGCAAATACTCTCACAATTAAAAGCGAAAATAACGTTAATTGTGGTACCCTGTAAGGCATTATATTATTATATTATTGTGGCACCCTGTTAAGCCTTTATTTTAGTTTTGCCTAAAAGTATGCAATGATTTTTTATGGAATTAGTATTAAAGTGAATAGGTTATGTACCAAATGCAAACAAATCTTAACACACAAATTAATAAGAAAATATTACATTTTGATAAAAATATACATTTAAATTAGAAATTTATATATTTTTTAAAATTATTTTATACTAATTTTTCAATTTTTTTCTTTCTATTTTTAGTTGTTCACCCGAAGAATTGTGTGCTAAATATGACCTCAAAACCGAAAAGAAGGATGATGATTAAATTCCAGGATATTCTATCATCATTGGTCGTTCTTTTCTATCTTTTAGTGGATAAACAAAAAAAGGGGGTGTGGTCCCTTACAAAACAAAATGAAAAGAGAAAATGGTGGATTCTTCCAAATGTGCTTAAAATTTACAACAACAATATAAATTGTTTGTAAAAATTACAAAAAAAAAAATAAATGTAAATTTGTTTAAAAAAAAATGCACAACTTTATAATTCTACTCTCCCATCATAGACGCACAATAAAAATGCAACAACAATTTTTGTTTAATTTCTCACAAAATAAAAAAACAAATGGTTTCTTTTTTGTGTATTTGTTTCTAAAAACAAAACAAAAATAATATTTAATAATAATAATAATAATAATAATTTTTTCTATTAATTAGTAATACTTCATTGGAAACGTGATGTAATTTAAGGAATTTTAAATTAAATATTTCTTTTATTTTTTTTTTTTAATTTTAACAAATAGTAAACCAACAAAAAAAAACAATAGTGGCTTCATAGGAAATTAAAAAAATAAACAAAATATTTTTTTAATATTAAGAAAAAAAAAAACAAAATAATTAATTTGAAATTAATTAAATTCTATAAGGAAACAAATCCCCCAGAAAAGTTTTAAAAAATGTATAATTAAAATAATTTTAGTTTTTTTTAACAAGCAATGTTCTCGTTAATTTATTAAGTTTTATTTTTTATGAAAAAAAAACGTATACAATTAATCCAAATTTTTTGATAAAGGCTCAAAACATTATTTTATTTGTGCAATTTGCAAAACACTAAAACAAAAATTGCCCATAAAAATTTTAATATGCCATACAAAAAAACAAAATATTTACAAAACAAACAGACCGCTACACAAGTAATTGAGTATCCAAAGTTAAGTGATATTAAAAAAATTAAAACTAAAAAATATGTTAGCTTTTGTATATAATTTTCTTTAAAAAAAATAATTAAACAATCATACCTTCCTCTTTCTTCTTTAAGTGTCTTAGACTTCAAGTTTTTTCTTTAGTTATTAAGTAATCATCATTATTTTTTTAAATATTTCTTTTTATTTTATTTACACATACATACAAATAATTTCTCAGTGCATGAGTGCTTCCGTGAGACTCGAGAGTTTTAACAAAAAACACAAAATAAATATTAAATAAAACAAAAACAAAAAAATCTCCCCAACTTTGTAAAAGAAACCAGCGTGGAAACAAAAAATAATAATTTACCATAATTGTTTAAAGTAGTTTTTTAGATGTTATACAAAAATAAAAAACTTAGAAATTTAATTTTAAGTAGGTGTAAAAAAATTAATAACATTAATATTAAAGAAAAACAACTACAAACAAACAAAAAACTCTATATATACTTATATAATAAATTATATTTAAAATCAAATTTTAATTAATTAATTTTTTTTTGTAGTTATAAGTCATAAAAACCAACAACAAACGTAAAAAATGCTCAACAAACATTTGCATAAATTAAATCAATAAAAAATATTTGTTAAAGATAATCTAAAAAAAAATAATAATTAATTGTGGTGTTTTTATTTTATGTGGTGGGAAATATATTGGAACGAAGGAAACCCAAAAAACTAGGCCTTGAGAAAAAAAGTCTTAACCAAATACACGCCTTAATAAGCCTTGAGAAAAAAACTTAACACAATACACGCGTTAATAAGCCTTGAGAAAAAAAAACTTAACAAAACACACGCCTTAATAGGCCTTAAGAAAATATTCAAAAATAAACTACGCCTTAATAGGCCTTGAGGAAAAATTCTATTAAAAAATCCACGCCTTAATAGGCCTTGAGGAAAAATTCTATTAAAAAATCCACGCCTTAAAAGGCCTTGAGGAAAAATTATATTAAAAAATCCACGCCTTAATAGGCATTGAGAAAAAATTCTTTTAAAAATCCATGCCTTAATAGGCCTTGAGAAAAATTCTTAAGGGAACCCCCTCCATCTCGATTTTAATTTTTCAAGATTTTCAATGGGCTGGTAAATGAATACAAATGCTTGTTAAGGTTTGTAACTTTGCACATATATAATTGAAGATTTAAAAGAGAAGAAAAATAATTTACAAAAAATTTTTGTTATTGTTTTGTTGTTGTTTTTTGTAATTAAAGAAAAGTCCTTATTTTTGATGGCGGGCATGATAACTCCTCACTGGAACTTCGTAATCCGAAAATTCCAACGGTGTTAGAAAGAGTACATTTCTGGCTCTCGTATGAACTAGGATTATTGACTTTGCTCTAAAATTAACAAAATGGTGAACATTTGAAAAAATATTTTTGGAAAATCGCCGATTTTTGACCAAAAACCAAGTTAAAAAAAGGAAGATCTTTTCCGATTGACTTTATCCTAGTTCATACGAGAGCTATACACTCCCAGAAAAACGTTGCAAAATTTGGAACCGATTGGATTATTAGTTTCTGAGTTATCGTGCCCGTCATTCGCAAAAAAATGTTTAGAGAAAAACGCGTTTAAAGTTTGAGAAGCCCTTCAGCCGTCACTTGATGCTGACACAATAAATCGGCTATATCTTCAAGAGTTCTTGAGATTTTCACTTGAAATTTTGTACAGACATTCTTTAATCAGTGTAGATTCGAATTATATCAACAAAAATTTTGACCCCTAGAAAGGGGGGGAGGGGGGGGGTCCCCTTAAGAGGGTTTCTAATTTATTCTATGTAATTGTGTTTTATTTCCCATGGAAATGTTAGTTGATTTTTGTGGCCCTTCCTTCTCTTGTGACGTCACTCCAAAAATGTGACATTTTCCTTAAAATTTCCGAAAAATACCAGGCGGTCAGAATTAAATAGAAAGTAGAAAGAAATTAAAAAAAAAAACAAAATCACAATTTTAGTCTGACAAAATCCGAGTATACTTTCGGGGGCCTATTTTTATTCGCATATATGAAAATGTCAATCTGGCAATGCCGTACTAAAAGTTACATTTATACAATACAGAACATACTTTTGGACGTGCAAATATTTTTAATTTTTGTCGGTCCAGCTACTTGCTATTAAATTCTGGGTGCCTGGTATTATTCAGGAATTTCGATATGCTTGGCTGCAGGGATGAATTTTTTAAAGAATATTTTCTGCCCGGGTTTGTAAGGCGTGGATTTTTTAAAGAATATTTTCTGAAAGGGTTTATAAGGCGTGGATTTTTTAAAGAATATTTTCTGGTGGGCCTTAAACCCCTTTATAAAACAATGAAAATTCCCCTCCCTCACAATTTCTATCCGTAGTCCTCGGTAACCCAAAATAGCACACAAAGTCAGGAAAAATATGTACTACACATATCATATATATCTGTCGATCAGCTACCAAATATTTTCGAACATTAAATTTTAAACCAAATCGAAATGAGCAACTTTATCTTTTGTGACACCCTGTGTTTAGAAGTTATTGTAGTTTTATACAATTACGCCTAGAAGTATGCAATAAATTAATGTAGTGAATGTTGGCTTATGTCCCAACTAATTGCGGCTATGTCTGCAGTATTTTTTGCATTTGTATGTTATTTAACAAAATTTTAATTGACCGTATATCACGCCTAAAATGAGAGCCATCAGTCCATCCTACCCCTACTGGTATCATCCCACAAACCTTTGAAAAATTTGTAAATTTAATATGAAGCTAAAAGTTTATTCGATTTGATTCATAGATTGCAATTTTTACCAAACCTTGATCAAGCCCGAATATGGGAAATATCGATTCACCCCATCTAGTGTCTTCCCCACAAAGTGTCAGAACGAAATTACGATTTTGTGATAAGGATAATTTTTCCCAATAGGACCTAATTTCTATTCTTCCGAATTCATTACTAATTATTGAGTTCTGAACTGACTACCAACCACCCTAGTGTTGACATATGTTAATAAGGAAACAATAACAAAAATAATATCCCAAGAAAAATGTCAAAACCCCCCCAAAAAAAAAACTTTCTAATTTCAATTGAATAGAAAACAACATCGAAATGTTCCGTTCATTGCTACAATACCGGACACTGAGAAGTCCTCACTTGTGGAGTACATTTAACCGCCGTGGCAAACATGAAATACCCAAACATTTACAAAAAATACCAACCGATAAGGATCCAAATTTTGCTCACATGGTTGAATATTATTATCATGCTGCTGCGAAGCTAATGGAACCGTCGCTCATTAAGGAGTTGACTCAAAAATATCCAAAATTGGATGCAAAAAGCGTAGAGGCTCGAGTTAGTGGCCTATTGCGATTTATGGGTTGTGTAACGACATGCATTGAGGTGAATTTCCCCTTGCTGAAAAATAATTCAGAAATTGAAATTATAACCGGTTATAGGGCGCATCATATGAAACAACGGCTGCCGGTAAAGGGAGGTGAGTGGGAAGCGAGAAAAGATAAAAAATTTAATTTGATAGAATAAACTTAAAATTTCTTGTAACTTAGGTATACGCTTTGGCATGGATGTGGAAGAGGATGAGGTTAAGGGTTTGGCCTATTTAATGACCTTCAAGTGTGCCTGTGTCAATTTACCCTTTGGTGGGGCCAAGGGAGGTATACGCATAGATCCCAGTAAATATACTGCCAAGGAGTTACAAATCATTACACGGCGTTATACCATGGAATTGTTAAGGCGGAATATGATTGGTCCAGGTATTGACGTTCCAGCACCGGATGTCAATACGGGCGAGAGAGAAATGAATTGGATTTGCGATCAATATTTGAAGACATTCGGTAAGAGGGAGGTGGTTTTAACTCCAAATACTATTTTTATAACCTCCTTGAAAAATTCGATGCAAACCCCTTAAAATTTTTAATCTTTATTCTTGATCAGAGTGGAATTATATGTCGGTTTAGAATTCTAATCTTATCACGTCAGTCTGTCAGGGTAATATTTAAGAAAGAGCTTTGAAATGGTTCTCGTTTATGCAACTACTTCTAGAATTAACATTGGATATATGGGCCCACGTTGGAGTATAACCTTCATATAAGGGTATCGATCGATTTTCGACATATTTTCTAACCCACTAAGGTACTGTAATTAAGCACTCCATATTCTTAGAAGAAGAACGTCTTTGCAGAAAATATGCGATATAGATCCATGCTGTGTCATAGCCCCTAATAAATAGGTCCCATCCATTTCAGGCATTTCCATTGTCTTGGACGGATTTTCCCCACGGAAGTAGGTTGGAATTCGGGTTTTTGAAGAATGATAAAGATATACGCATAAATGTTTCTATATAGGTCAATTTTTTAGCATGGCATTATCTGACCAAAGGAGCTGTAAATAGATATTCTCGGTTTTATGAGGTGTAAACAGCCACTAATTTTCGAAATGGGTCCATGTTTGGACATAGCTTTTACAGAAATATCCCGAAACTTTTTTTGGTATTTTGAAGATTTTAGCCTTTTATCCAATCGAAGTGGTTCTAATTAAGCATTCCAGATTTATAGTTAAATTTTCAATAGGAAAGTTGGACGTTTTCAGGTTTTTCGACGAGTTTCGGGTTCATGGAGGATGAAAAACAAATTTCCGATATAGTTTCTTATTTTACCTAATCCCCATTCTAAGGTAAAAAATCCACGTCTGGTCTGTTGGTCCTTCAAGAAAATATTTTTAAAAAATCCAGAAAATATTTTTAAAAAATCCACGCCTGGTCTGTTGGTCCTTCCAGAGAATATTTTTAAAAAATCCACGCCTGGTCTGTTGATCCTTGAAGAAAATATTGTTTAAAAAATCCACGCCTGGTCTGTTGATCCTTGAAGAAAATATTGTTTAAAAAATCCACGCCTGGTCTGTTGGTCCTTCAAGAAAATATTGTTTAAAAAATCCACGCCTGGTCTGTTGGTCCTTCAAGAAAATATTAAAAAAAAATCCACGCCTGGTTTGTTGGTCCTTCAAGAAAATATTTTTTTAAAAAATCCACGCCTGGTCTGTTGGTCCTTCAAAAAAATATTTTTTAAAAAATCCACGCCTGGTCTGTTGGTCCTTCAAGAAAATATTTTTTTAAAAAAATCCACGCCTGGTCTGTTGGTCCTTCAAGAAAATATTTTTTAAAAAAATTCACGCCTGGTCTGTTGGTCCTTCGAGAAAATATTTTTAAAAAATCCACGCCTGGTTTGTTGGTCCTTCAAGAAAATATTTTTAAAAAATCCACGCCTGGTTTGTTGGTCCTTCAAGAAAATATTTTTAAAAAATCCACGCCTGGTCTGTTGGTTCTTCAAAAAAATATTTTTAAAAAATCCACGCCTGGTCTGTTGGTCCTTCAAGAAAATATTTTTAAAAAAATCCACGCCTGGTCTGTTGGTCCTTCAAGAAAATATTTAAAAAAAATCCACGCCTGGTATGTTGGTCCTCCAAGAAAATATTTTTTTAAAAAATCCACGCCTGGTCCTTCAAGAAAATATTTTAAAAAATACACTCCAGGTCTGTTGGTCCTTCAAGAAAATATTTTTAAAAAATCCACGCGTGGTCTGTTGGTCCTTCAAGAAAATATTTTAAAAAATCCACGCTTGGTCTGTTGGTCCTTCAAAAAAATATTTTTAAAAAATCCACGCCTGGTCTGTTGGTCTTTCAAGAAAATATTTTTAAAAAATCCACGCCTGGTCTGTTGGTCTTTCAAGATATTTTTGAAAAAATGAACCCTCGATTCGTCCTTCACGAAATCAAAAAATCTAAAATATCTGTTTTAAAGACATATGGCCTTATTAGTCCTTCAAGAAATCCACGCCTATGGTCTTTCAATACAATATTTTTGAAAAATTCACTCTATGGTTTCTATTTATTTAGGTCACAAGGATATCAATGCCCTGGCCATAGTCACAGGAAAACCTGTTCATATTGGCGGCATCAATGGACGTACCTCCGCCACAGGACGAGGCGTTTGGAAGGCTGGGGATGTTTTCCTGCAAGACAAAGATTGGATGGATTTTTTGAAAATGAAAACTGGTTGGGAGGGTAAAACTGTTATAGTCCAAGGTTTTGGTAATGTGGGTTCGTACGCCGCCAAATTTGTGGTAGATGCTGGGGCCAAATTAATTGGAGTGCAGGAAAAAGATGTATCCTTGATGAATCCTGAAGGTATTAATCCAGAGGTAAGTCTTCGGGAGATAATAAAATAATGTTATTTTTAATACTTTTAATTTTTTCTCAGGACCTCATATCTCATATGAACGAAAAGAAAACCCTCAAAGGCTATTCGAAGGCCACAGAAAAGCAAGGTTCCCTCCTCACCGAGAAATGTGACATTTTAATGCCTTGTGCAACACAAAAAGTACTTAATTCCGAAAATGCCAACGCAGTTCAAGCAAAAATAATACTCGAAGGTGCCAATGGGCCTGTTACCCCAGCTGCTGATGAGATCTTACGCAAAAAAGGCATTCTCATGATACCCGACATGTATTGTAATGCTGGTGGAGCAACGGTGTCGTATTTTGAATTTTTAAAAAATATCAATCATGTTTCCTATGGAAAAATGACTTCGAAGCGGGATAATCATGTTATACGTGAGATTTTCAATTCCATTAATGAGTCAATGGGTGATGGTGGGGTGAGTCTCAAGGAGCTGGAAACGAAATCTGAATTTCAATATTTTGGTAATTTCAGCCACACATTTGTCCCAACAAGAGTTTGGAGAAAATACGCAATTGTACCTCGGAAGCTGATATTGTGGATTATGGCCTCCAAACGGTAATGGAAATGGCTGGTCAGGGTATTAAGGAGGTGGCCAATGAATATGCTCTGTGCAATGATTTGCGTACTGCGGCCTATATATTTTCGATACAAAAAATATTTCGTGCCTTAGAGAGTTCGGGTTTTACACAGCAATAAGTTATTCCTTTTATTATTAAACAAATATTTTTATTGTAAAATAAAAAAATATCTATTGATCTCCAAAAAAGATTTAATAAATACCCAGGCCTCTATTGATCTCCAAAATTTTTTTAAAAAATCCACGCCCATATGGTCATTCCAGAAAATATTTTGAATCTAGTCCTATTTGTCCTTTGAGAAAATATTTTTATTCCATATATAATTTTGATATAATTCCGATTTTTCTCTAAGCATTCCTTTTAGCAGCCAATATACGTGACCTTGGCAAACGACACTGACTAATACTGTGTAGACGATATTGCATTTCAGGTTGGGCAACTTTTTCGTATAGCTTCTGTTTGGCCTCCTCGACTGTGTGTATGGCCACACCACCATCTCCAGCTTCATCCATGTTAAAGGCCTCACCCTCTGCACACTCAGGACATTGTTGTGTCAGAACGATGTCATTCAATTCCGTTGGCCATTCGCATATTTTTTCGATTTGTTTAACCACATAATCACCAAATGCCTTACTTTCATCCCGCCGCTCCAACACATAAACACTTGCCGTAATATCGAAGATACGACGTTCTAAAATTTTCAAGAAACGTCGAACATTTACCAAATCAACATGGCTGTGATTTCCGAGTAATACCATCAACGGTGAGGCATCACATTGAGACATTTTGAAAAGGGTTTCAATACCCTTCAAAAGGCTGTCCAAACGTTGATCATTTGCCTCCCGCACCTTTTGTAATTCCGCATTTTTCTTTTGTTTCTCCGCCAGAGTTGCTTCCAAACGATCTATGGTCTCATATTGATCTTGTAGGGAATTTAAATTGGTTTTCTTCAGGGAATCAATATCGTTGTAGAGACGATTCACGGAGTTCGTTAGCAGCGTCATGTGATAGCTCAGTTCATTGGCATAATTGAAATACGAATAATACAGACTCTCTTGTTGTTGGAATTTTTCTATGACCTTTTCGACATTTTGTGTTTGGGTATAATCCTGAATTTTCTCCAGGATTTTGTTATACAAATTAATTTTCTTTTTATGATATTGCCGAAACTTTTCACGACGTGCATATTCTTTTGGTTGTAAATCGGCCAATTCCCGCACCTTACCCTTGGTATCCATAAATTCCGAAACGGCAGTTTCGGCTGCAAGATTTCTCATTAAGCCTTGCATTTCGACTTTACGCATATCCTTCTCCTTTTTATCTCTCTTCACTAAGTTATCAATTTTCTCATAGATATCGATGCAATTGTCAAAGGTACCCAGGGCATATTCGATCAATTCGATTAAATATTTTTTATCACTATTCAGTTTCTGCACCAATTTCGAATAGGATTCATTGAAGAGGGTACGATGATTGAGAATTTTGATTAATTCTTCACGTAGCTCTGCATTGACCGCCGTAAAGCTGCATTCCCGACGTACGCCCACCTCCAGCTGATTTTCCAAAATCATTAATTTCTTGCGGGTCTTGGCCACGTGTGCCTGATGCTGTGTATCGGGCACCGTTTTACGATTTAAATCATAAATTTGTTTATTCACCCGACTTATTTCCCTTTCCAAATTGGCGATGTCCACCTTCAATTTGCGATTGTCATTTGACAGCCTCTCTTGGCATTCAATATGGCATTGGATATTTTTCAGACAACGTTTATTTTCGCGTACGTGAGTCAGACCATTCGCAACCCATATCTGGGCTCTCAAGTCGTCCTTTTCCACCTTTAACTGATCAATGGCATTCTGATAGCTCGCCTCGATAATGGTTTCTTTGCGACTTTTCAATTTTGTCGAGAGAATCTTTTTATATTCCCGCTGACGTTTGCCCAGCTCTTTTTGCTTGGCCAAATAGACTTCAAGGAAATTCTTCCTCGCCAAATTATCCATGGTGGATGTAATATCTTCGGGCGGAGTTCAAAAATGTGATTTTTATACAAAAAATATATACATATATTTTAATATTTTCAATAAATAAAGGTGTGGGTTAAAAGGCCCTGCCGACTATGATATCGACTTCACCTATGTTTCAATTGGGATTATTTAAAAAAAAAATTAATTGAAAGACCAACAGAGGTGTGGTTGAAGGTCCATTAAAGGCGTGGATTTTTAAAAATATTTTCTCAAAGGTCCATTAAGGCGTGGATTAAAAAAAAAAATCTTGAAGGTCCATTAAAGCCGTGGATTTAAAAAAATCTTGAAGGTCCATTAAGGCGTGGATTAAAACACACTGTGGTACAGGGTATTATGTCTTTGAGCATATATTTAAAACAGGCAAAAGGAAACGAGACAGACACATGGTTTCTTTTGAGAATATGCATAGAAACACTTTCTGAGTCGATCTACGCATGTCCGTCTGTCCATCCGTCCGTCCGCCTGGCTGTCTTTCTGTCCGTCGCATTTCTGATCCGATTTGGATGAAATTTGCTATAGGTCACTTATTAGGCCCAAGGACGAACCCTATTGAAATTGGGAAAAATCGGTTCAGATTTAGATATATCTACCATATATATTTTCGACCGATTTAAGGTAAATGTTTGACATAGCGTACTGAATTTGGCCAAAACTCTTTGTACATTAGAACTTTTTACCGGGTTAACCTACTTTGTGAGAATTTATTTGACATATATGCAAAGGTAATAATAATTGAAACACACTGGGTTAACGAAATCCGGTTAAATGTAAATGTACTACTAGAATGACGTACGTGAAGTTTCGTAAAAATCGGTTCAGATTTAGATATAGTTCCCATATATATTTTCGTCCGATTTAAGGTAAATGTTGCGCCAAAGTCCCTAAATATATTTCGATATACTCGAAATTTGGCATAGCGTACTGAATTAGGTCTATGATGTGTGTAAAATTTCCTGAAAATCGGTTAAAATTTAGATATAGCTCCCAATATATATTATCACCCGATTTAATGTAAATTGTGCACCAAAGTTCCTATATATCTTTCGATTTGCACGAAATTTGGCACAGCGTACTGAATTAGGTCTAGAATGATGTGTGTTAAGTTTCCTGAAAATTGGTCCAGATTTAGATATAGCTCCCATATACATTTTCGTCCTATTTAATGTAAATGGTGCACCAAAGTCCCTACATATCTTTCGATTTCCACGAAATTTGGCACAGCGTAATGAATTAGATCTAGAATGATGTGTGTTAAGTTTCGTGAAAATCGGTTCAGATTTATATATAGCTCCCATATATTCTCGTCCGATTTAAGGTTAATGGTGCGCCAAAGTCCCTATATATCTTTCGATTTGCACGAAATTTGGCATAGCGTAATGAATTAGGTATAGAATGATGTGTGTTAAGTTTCCTGAAAATCGGTTCAGATTTAGATATAGCTCCCATATATATTTTCGTCCGATTTAAGGTAAATGGTGCACCCAAGTCCTTATATATCATTCGATTTGCACGAAATTTGGCACAGCGTAATAATATTATATATAGATATAACTCCCATATATGTTTTCGTCCGATTTAATGGTGTACCAAAGTCCCTTAATATCTTTCGGGTTGCACGAAATTTGGCACAGGGTAATGAATTAGGTATAGAATGATGTGTGTTAAGTTTTCTGAAACCGTTGAAATCGGTTCAGATTTAGATATAGCTTCTATATCTGACCAAATGAAAAATTTAGTATAGGTTGCAGAACGACATGCTTATGGATCCAATTTCATTTTACTGGACCTTTAAAAATGCGACGTCTGTTAGGATTCATCTGTTGAATATACCCAAAGTGATGAAGGGTATCATATAGTTGGCCCCGTCCGTAATTTCCTTACTGGTTTAAAAATATTTTCTTGAAGGCCCATTAAAGGCGTGGATTTTTATGTTCTTGGTATTATTAGAATTTAATTAATTTAATTCTATTTTATAAATATATGTAGACATCCTGTTTTAATTATATAATTTTATTTTTAATATGACTAGTAAATTCTTGCTGAGATGTCCATATATTTATTTAGTTTTCAACACAGATGACTTGGTACCGCCTGACTTATCGTCTGATCTTAGATCTCCATAACAATTGTACATACGATTTATTTTCAGAACATCCAATGGTGAGAGACCAAAACGTTGACCCATAATATTATTATACTCAGGTTGCTGGAAATATAGTAAAAAAAATAATAAGATCGATTTTTCGGAGCTATATAATATATTTAAATTTTAATCGCGGCACATCCTTACCTTCGCCACAATAGTCGGTTGTCCATTATGGGAAAATGCCGTCGCAGAATAATGCATAATACTACCATAATCATAGGGTACATCAAATGCTGCCGTACGAGCTCTTCTCTTGAAATTATTCTGTAATCCATCGCGTATATTTTCATAGCGTATTTCAACATATTCATCACGTTCCTTACGATTTTGTTCGTGGAAAAATCCCACAACATGCATCAGCTCATGTATTGCTGTGCCGGGATTTATCAAACATATTGGAGATTCGAGATTAAGTTTTTGTTTACCACCCTGTCGTCCGACATAAGACCAACAACCGGAATTTTCATTATTCAGCGAAATATAATCGGTTTCATTGTAGCGTCGAGGTACAAAACGTACACAAGTTTGCATATGAAAATTTAGAAAAGCATAGAAAATTATTTCCAAATCATGTTGATTGAAATTGCCGGCAAATTCGTAGGGTATAACGCCATAGGGCCAACGGTAAGATTTCGAAATGACACCATTTTTGGAAAACATGTTAGCCGTTTGAATTATATCGCCTTCGGTGTAGGATCCGACTTCTTCGGGATTTGTTGGATGTTTTGGGTGTTCCACGACGTTAGCCGGATCTAGGGTAGTTTTTACAATATCCTCCATAACGATAACATTTCCTTTTGAATTTATAACAGAAGCACTTTGAGAAAATTTTAAATATATAATAGTGTGGATAATTATTGTATATACTATCATCTTTATACTTTAAGTTAAAAAAATGCGTCACTTTTTGTTAATATAAAAATTTATATACTCTCTTTGGCACTTTATTCCCTACTGAACAGATGCCAGAATCTTATTCATCACTTGGGTCGATATTTGCCCAAAAAGTTGCATTTCAGTGTTTATTTATCTTTAGAGTAATACTGATTAAATTCTTTCTCAAACATTGAATACTCCGCAGATGTTTAACGTTTCGTCAGTTACCACCTTAACTTTAACTATTTGACTGATAAGCCAGTGACAAGTTCAATATCATCTATTTAAATAAGTTCAGCAGTTTTAGCACATCGGAAAATTTGGATAGGAACAGCCATCTAAAAATTGACAACGTTGTTGGCGTGAATTTTTTTAAAATATTTTCTTGGAGGACCAACGATAGCGTTGATACTTTAAAAATGTTTTATAATCGATTTAAAAAAAATATTCCATAAACCAACCAACAGAGGCATGTATTTTCTTTAATATTTTCTTAAACGACCAACAGAGGTGTGGATTTTGTAAAAAAAATTTTCTTAAGTGACCAACAGAGGCGTAAATTTTTTTAAATATTTTTATACCCTACACAACTATGTCGTCAGGGTATTATAGCTATGTGCAGCCCCAAGCGTTTGTAACAGCGCGAAATATTGGTCGTAGAACCACCGATCGTCATATCTCGACTAGCTGAGTCGACCTAGATATGTGTGTCCGTCCGTCCGTCTGTCCATTATAATTTGTAAATACGATACAGACCACAGTTATGGACCAATCTTCACGAAATTTTGCATGTAGGATGGGTTGTGGTCAATGAAGACCCCTATTGTTTTTGGTAAAGATCGGTTAATATTGCCCGAACATCGTGAAATTTTACATGGAGAAGGGGATCGGGCCAAAGAATTAGCATGCCTGTTTTGATGAAGATCGGTCAATATTTAACGGGCCAAATGGACCCTGACTTTTGTGTGAAAAATTACAAAATTTATATTCTATGGCATACATATTTAGTCCTGAGGGAGATAAACCCGAGAAGTTAATAGTATATCCAAGAGGATTGGTTGACCTTTAAATTGATACAAATTATATTGTCGTATGTACTCGGATGCGGGAGTTACACTTAAATATTTACAGGCTCTTACGTATTCAGACATTATTTAGTAACCCATTACCACACTAGAGGTCGGAAATATAGCGCTGATCGCTTTGAAATTTTCCATGAGGTTCCAGTTATGGTCAAGGACAACTCCTATAATTTTCGGTCATGATCAGATAATAATTTTGGGATGAAGTGAACAGAAAACTTTATTTATAGGCCACAATTTTAATCCGAACTTCACCATACAACCCACAGTGAAGGGAATCTGGACAAGGACTGTAATATTCGGAAAATATGTCAGTGTAAGAAAGAGGTGTTGTTGACCTCTAATCGGGCAAGAGGGTTCAAATATTACGAAATATTGCCCAGGCTCGGAGTAAACTTCCGCAGAAAGTTAGAATTCCGTGGTAGTTGTGTAGGGTATCGTATGGTCGGACCCGTCCGACTATACTGCTCCGCTCACTGGTTATTTAAATATTTTTTAAACGACCAACAGAGGAGTGGATTTTTATACCGTTCACCGCACTGTGGTACAGGGTATTATGTCTTTGTGCATATGTTTGTAACATGCAAAAGGAATCGAGATAAATCCATGGCTCCTTTTGAGAATAAGCATAGAACCACATTCTGAGTCGATTTATGCATATCCGTCCGTCTGTTGACGTTAAATTGTAAACAAAGTACCGGTCGCATTTATAATCCGATTTGGATGAAATTTGACACAGCTCATTTATTTGGCACTATTGAAGTAGGTGAAAATCTGTTCAGATTTAGATATAGCTCCCATATATAGTTTCGCACGATTTTATGTAAATTGTACACCAAAGTCCCCGAAAAGCTTTCGATTTGTACGAATTTTGATATAGCGTACTGAATTGAGCCTAGAATGATGTATGCTTAGTTTAGTGAAAATCGGTTCGGATTTAGATATAACTTCTATATAGTTTTGTCCGATTTTATGTAAATGGTGCACCCAAGTCCCTATATATCTTTCGATTTGCGCGAAATTCCGCATATCATACTGAATTGAGTCTAAAATAATGTCTGCTAAGCTTCGTAAAAATCGGTTCAGATTTAGATATAGCTCCCATATATATTTTCGTCCGATTTAAAGTAATTGGTGCAACAAAGTCCATATATATATTTCGCTTTGCACGAATTTTGGTATAGCGTACTGTATTAAGTCTAGAATGATGTGTGTCAAGTTTGGTTAAGATATAGATATTGCATAGCTTTCATATATAATTTCGACTTATTCATGTTAATTGTACACTAAATAATCAATGGGTGTCTGATTGAGAATACATTTTAAACAGTGCAGCATAGCTTGTGTCAAGTTTGCTTTAAATCGGCTTACAAAATTTAACATAGGTTGCAGAATGATGTTAGTCCGTTCAGTAAGGATTGATGTTAGTCGGTTCACATATAGATAAATATCACATATTTAAGTTCGTTCAATTTCATGTCAAAGTTCCTTCAAAAAGACGACGTTTGTAGAATGTAGAATATACCCAAAGTGGTAAATTTTTTAAAAATATTTTCTTGATATGGGCGTGGATTTGTTTAAACATATTTTCTTGAAGCGCCATTAAACCTAATGACGTGGATATTTTTTAAATATTTTTTCGAGCAGCATGAAACCAGAAACTGGGGTTTTTAATTGTTTCTTTAATTTTTATTTTTACATTATTATTAATTAGCTTTATTATATACTTTCAACTATCTACTAACAATGTATACATGTATTATTCTAACAAAATAATTGCAATGCTAATTCAGTCTATACAAAAATTACTTAAATAACGTAAAAAAATATATATGTTTCTATTAAGGATTAAGTCGCGACATCAAATTGCTGAAAACATTTCCCATTTTTCGTATAGGTCTTTCAGATGTTGTACTTGTAGGAAATTCCGTCGATTGTACATCATCGTTATAATCCTCGTTGTCGTAACAATTGTACATACGATTGATTTTATCTATGTCCAATTGGGAAAAGCCATTACGTTGACCCATCATTTGATTGCCCTTAGGATGCTGAAAGTAATAACGGTATTGAAATAGTAAATTTAATTATTAAAAAAAATATTTGAAAAAGTGATGTACTTAATTTTTTACAAAGAACCGAAGTAAAGAATAAAAAAGAAAAATTAATTGCAGAGAAAATTAGTTTTAGAAAGACTTTGTATTTTGTATAAAAATAGAGGTATATAAAAACATTGTGATATATAGATGCTTCCCGAAAAATGTGGGCCAACTTTGATAATTTTTGGTAGGAAGGAGGCAAGAGGGTATTTATCCTCTGAGAAAACGAAATACCCAATTACACAATGCATGAAATGGGGCGGAAGATTTTTACTAAAATTACTTACGCTTCGGTTGGAGATTTATATGATGGATATGTCAAAACATTGACCTATATTGACAAATTTACACTCCTTAATATATTCAATATTGGGTCTTAGATACAAGAACCGGTTTTTTATATAAGGCATTCATAAATTCGGTGCGGCCGAATATTATTGTCCTTAATTTGTTGTAGCAGAAGCCTACTCCGCTCAACATTCCAACCTGCTTTAAGAAAGCACTCCTTCTCCCGATCATAATATAGAAGCACAATGGCAAAGAACGAAAGAACAAGAAGAATGTGAGCGGGAGCAAATCGAGATGTGCAGGAGTCAGAATGAAGTCAGGAAATGCTACCAACGAGTAAAACACCAAACCGAAGGCTTTAGTGCAGGCACTTCCTCCTGTAGAGATGAAGATGGAAACCTGGTGACAGATACAGATAGCGTGTTGAGGATCTGGAAGGAGCATTTTGCAACGCTTCTGGTAGAAGAAGATACTCCAGAGCCAATAAGAGACGACCGTTTAGAGTGTGTACCACCTAACCAAGATGAGGTCAGAGTAGTAATTAATCAGCTTAAGAACAAAAAACCAGCAGTTGCCCATGTATTACCAGCCAAACTATTCAAGACCGGTGGTCGGATGCTTATCCGGAGCATGCACCAGCTAATTAGTACAATTTGGCTAGAGGAATGCATGTCCAATTGGAATCTCAGCATCCTGTGTCCCGGGCGCAAAAAAAGGAGACAAGACGATATGTGTCAACTATAGACGAATAAGTCTCCTTCCCATCGCATATAAAGTGCTGCGGCTTCACGCCTGGCAAATCCACCATTGACCAGATTTTCACTCTGCATCAGATCCTGAAAAAGACCCACGAAAAACACATCGACACATTCCACCTATTTGACGACTGTAAAGCCGCATTCGACAGCCCTATCCGTTCAAAGGTGTTTAAAGCCATGTCTGCTTTCGGCATTCCTGCAAAATTAATACGGCTATGCAGGATAACTTTAAGTGGCACAAGGTCAGCAGATAAAGTCGGAAAGGACTTTTCGGAACCTTTCAGTATCGAACGAGGATTCGGACAAGGTGATAGTTTTTCGTGTGACCTGTACAACATCCTGACATTAATGACATCAGTTTTAAAATTCGGAGGAGATAGTGTTGGCCAACAGATGCTACTATGGTCTACGTAAGCAATTCAGAAACAAAGTCACCGCTCGCCAGACTAAACTCAATCTACAAGACGCTGATACTACCCGAGCTGTTGTATGGATCTGAAGCATTGGTACTTGTGCAAGCAGATGAGGTAGCTTTTGGAGTGTCTGGGAGAAAAATTCTCCGGACGATCTATTCTCCGGACGAACGTTGGCTAGGCCATATTGTGAGAATGGAAGAAGATGCCCCAGCTCAAAACGCATATAAAAGCGAACCAGAAAGGAAAGACTATAAATTAGATGAAAAGATCAAGCGGAAGACAACATTGCCGAACATGGTCTTTCAAATTGGAAGAACTGCGCAAGTAAAGTAATAAATCCATAGACCTCCGCAAGCCATAGGCTGAGGGTATATATCAGTCGGCAACACCGACTGACACTTTTATACTTGTTCAGGAGATGCTTATTATCCTCCGATGGAAATTGTGGTTGTAAGTTGGCACTCCGGGGTTTTGATTGGAAAAATATGGAATAGGAAATATTTACACACAAGTGAAAACTCATTAAATTCGGCTGACCCGAACATTTTTGAACCTCCATCATGAGGTGGTCATCCTTTAAAAAACGAAGTTCAAAAAACGGACAGGAGACAACAACACGTTGGAAAATTTGTTTAAGTCCTTAAAAATGGGCAAAGCTTTTAAATGAGATCTATGTCTTAGCATTGAAAATGATCTGCAACGGAGGTTTTTTACCTTCAAGGGACACGGATTCCCAGATTACTACCACCTACGTAGAGTATAGCCAAAACATGGACCTTTATATGAGAGCTAAACATGAGCCTATATTGAAATGCCAAAACTAGATTCATGCTCTGACATAGTCCCCATATTATCGAAAATTGTCTTTAAAAATAATTTAAACCATCCAGGGGCTCAGTTTAACACACCTAATAATATAATGGAGGTCTATTCAAAAAGTTTCAGAATATAATCCAACCTAATGCCTTTTTTAATATAGGCCGAACCCAACTCTTCTTAATTTGTTTTTTTTTCTTTCTTAATTCAAAACTTACCTTCGCCACAATGGTCGGCTGACCATTTTGTGAAAATGCTTTCGCCGAATAATGCATAACACTGGCGTAGTCGTAGGGCACCCCAAAGGCAATCGTGGGTGATACCTTTTTGAAATTATCATAGGCCGCCTGTTTAATATTCTTATATTTGATATCAACATATCCATCGCGTTCCTGGCGATTTTGTTCGTGGAGGAAACCCAAAACATGCATTAATTCGTGTATTGCTGTACCGGGTTTAGTTAAACATCCTGGGGTTTGTAAATTAACCTCCTGTTTGCCACCCACCCGCCCAATCGATGACCAACAACCCGATTTACCGTTGACAATTGAAATGTAATCCTTTTCGTTGGTTCGCGGCACAAATCGTATACAGGTTCGCTGATGATATTCCTGTATGGCGTTGTGTATCATTTGAAGTTCACGACGTTTGAACTGAGCACCAATTTCATAGGGAACTACGCCGTTGGGCCAACGTGTTGCCGTCGAGACGAGACCATTTTTTAATATCACCGAGCTCTGTGGCATGAGGATATCACCTTCTAAATAGGATCCAAGTTCTTCGGGATTAACATGTGCAGTTTCAGGTTGATATTCATCGACAAGGCGTGCGGTATTATTGTAGTCCGGAATGCGATACAATGAACTGCCGAACACACTCAAGTCCAATACATTAGGATCCTTGGGAACTGAATCTACACTTGTTGCCGCTTCCACCACCTCACTATCTTCCAATGAGGGGAATCCTTCAGAAATTTGACTTATTAAATGATTTCCGGGCAAAGGATCTTCTGGGAAATCTTCGATATTTATTTCAAATCCTACGGTTTCTTCCGAATTAATTTCCACTATTCCATTTTCAATATTTTCATGCAAATTCTTCTCACTTAATGGTATGCTTCGAATCATTACGACAAAGCTTAAACAAATTATTAATGAAAACCGTACCGAATCCATTTTTCTATTGCCGTTTGTTCGGATGTTCTTGGGAAAATTCAAATTTACAACTATCGTAACTGGATCGCATACATTTAAATATATATAGCGATCGTGAGTGCTGAATGAAATATTGACGAGAATTACAACAATAACAATATGCAAACAATCACCACCACCATATTGTGTCAACAAAAACAACAATGTGTGTAGAATCGAATAGAACTATGACAAGTCATAAAATAGCTCCAGTTAACACCACAGTTGGCCAATTCAAGTGAATACCCGTTGACAACATGATATGTGTTCAATATCATCATGATCATCACAGTGGTTTGGAAAACTGAAAAAAGGCTCAAAACGTCAAATTAAACACGGTTGAATAACATTCCAGTTCGAAAAACTCATATTCAGCCAGGCTGAATAGGTTTTCTGTTAGGAAATCTTATATTCAGCATGAATGAAAAGGCTTTCTATTAATAAAATTCATACTCAGCCTGGCTGAAGACGTTTTCTGTTTGGAAAACTCATATTCAGCCTGGCTGAATAGATTTTCTGTTAGCAAAACTTCTATTCAGGTTTTCTGTTTCGAAAACTCATATTCAGCCTGGCTGAATAGGGTTTCTCTTAGGAAAACTCATATTCAGCCTGGCTGAATAGGTTTTCTCTTAGGAAAACTCATATTCAGCCTGGCTGAATAGGTTTTCTGTTTCGAAAACTCATATTCAGCCTGGCTGAATAGGTTTTCTCTTAGGAAAACTCATATTCAGCCTGGCTGAATAGGTTTTCTGTCAGGAAAACTCATATTCAGCCTGGCTGAATAGGGTTCCCGTTAGGAAAACTCATATTCAGCCTGGCTGAATAGGGTTTCCGTTGGGAAAACTCATATTCAGCCTGGCTGAATAGGTTTTCTGTTAGGAAAACTCATATTCAGCCTGGCTGAATAGGTTTTCTGTTAGGAAAACTCATATTCAGCCTGGCTGAATAGGTTTTCTGTTAGGAAAACTCATATTCAGCCTGGCTGAATAGGTTTTCTGTTGAGAAAACTCATATTCAGCCTGGCTGAATAGGTTTTCTGTTAGGAAAACTCATATTCAGCCTGGCTGAATAGGTTTTCTGTTAGGAAAACTCATATTCAGCCTGTCTGAATAGGTTTTCTGTTAGGAAAACTCACATTCAGCCTGGCTGAATAGGTTTTCTATAAGGGAAACTCTTATTCAGCCAGGCTGAATAGGTTTTCTGTTAGGAAAACTCTTATTCAGCCAGGCTGAATAGGTTTTCTGTTAGGAAAACTCTTATTCAGCCAGGCTGAATAGGTTTTCTGTTAGGAAAACTCTTATTCAGCCAGGCTGAATAGGTTTTCTGTTAGGAAAACTCTTATTCAGCCAGGCTGAATAGGTTTTCTGTTAGGAAAACTCTTATTCAGCCAGGCTGAATAGGTTTTCTGTTAGGAAAACTCTTATTCAGCCAGGCTGAATAGGTTTTCTGTTAGGAAAACTCTTATTCAGCCAGGCAGAATATGTTTTCTGTTAGGAAAACTCATATTCAGCCAGGCTGAATAGGATTTCTTTTAGCAAACCATCTATTATATTTGTATCCACTGTGCAATATATTCAATACCTTTACACATTAACAGTTTATGTTGTTGTTATTAACAGAAACAGTCGTTTAAACAACAACAACAGAAATTAAATAAATATTTAGGCTTGTCAGGCTTCCCTTTTGTTTTACACGCTATTAACGGCTCGGCTATAAAAACCAACAACAACAAATGAACTTCTTAAAATCACTTCCAGACGATGGATGGATGACGTGCCTTTGCAAGTCTCATGAACTTGACTCGCTCTAGTTGACTGATAAGCCGGCAAAAGAATGAATGAAAGCTCAATGAATTTTGAACAAAAACAACATTTTATGCGTTTTGCAAATAATACCTGCAGTTTAACACCCGTCCCTATACCTGTTATTTTATTTTTATTGATAATTTTTAAAATTCAATGTCGTCTCCCTCTCTGTCAATCAATAAATCCGGCTGGATTTGTAACAGCTGTGTTTAGAAAACAGCTGCTTTGATGGGACCTTAGGAAAACCCCCCAATAGAAGTTGTAATGAAATTATGTTCGAATACTATCACAACATGTTCTACCTTAAACATGAATAGATAAATATTTACTCAATAAATACAATTTTGGGGGGTTTTCAAACATGTTCACATTAAAAAATGGTATACTAACACATTTCTTCTGTAGCGATTGAAAAAAAAACCTTCTAATTTTAGTTGGAGAACTGACCTTTTCGCAAGTTCATACATTGACCCATAGTTGAATGACACTATGGGGAAACAATTGTTAAAATAGTTAATTATTAATTAATTAATCTATATATATAAAAGAGTTGCGTTATAAGTGACTGACTGATCATCAACGCCCAGCCGAAACGGCTAAAGCTAGAAACATGAAATTTGGCATGTAGGTGGGTTAATTATTAATTAATTAATCTATATATATAAAAGAGTTGCGTTATAAGTGACTGACTGATCATCAACGCCCAGCCGAAACGGCTAAAGCTAGAAACATGAAATTTGGCATGTAGGTGGGGTTTGGTGCGTAGGCGTGTGATAAGGCGGGGTTTTTGGAAATTCGTACTAAAAGGTACTAAAAAGTACTAAAAACTGTATTACGCGGGAACGGTTAGATGTAGAACTTTTAAATTTGGCACGTAGCTTTGTCTAGGACGAGCAAAGTGGAATGTGTGAAAAAATTTTGGAATTTAGTACTAAGAGGTACTAAAAAGAACTAAACATTATATTTGAATGGAATTGGTAGAGAAACACATCTGAAACTTTGTATGTAGCTTAAGTTATTACAATAAGAACGACGTGCAAAAATATTTGTTGGAAATTAGTACTAAAATGGTACTAAAAAGTACTAAAACTTTATTACGCCGGAACGGTTGGAAGTAGAACTCTGAAATTTTGTATGCAGCTTTGTCAATGATAAACAAATCAGAATGTGTGAAAAAAATTTGGAATTTAATAATAAGAAGTACTAAAAAGTACTAAACATTATATTTGAATGGAATCGGTAGAGATACATATCTGAAACTTTGTATGGAGCTTAAGCTCTTACAAATAGAATAACGTGCAAAAATATTTTTTAGAAATTAGTTCTAAAATGATACTAAATAGTACTAAAAATTGTTTACGCCGGAATGGTTGGAAGTACAACTCTGACACTTGGTATGCAGCTTTCTCAATGATAAGCAAATCAGAATGTGCGAACAAATTTTGGAAATTAGTACTAAAGGTACTAAATACTACTCAACAATGGAACAGGTAGGGATAGATATCTGAAATTTGGTGTGGAGGTTAAGAATGATGTCCAAAAATATTTATTAGAAATTAGTACTAAAGTGATACTAGGTAGTACTAAAAACTGTATTACGCCGGAACGGTTGGAACTACAACTAGGAAATTTGGTATACAGATTTGTCAATGATAAACAAATCAGAATGTGCGAACAAATTTTGAAAATTAGTATTCAAGTTGATATCTTTCTGAAATTTTGTAACTTAAGCTATTAAAAATAGAAAAATGGACAAACATATTATTTTTTGAAATTGGTTCTATAGTATTTTAAAAAGTTGTGAAACTTCGCATATAGCTTGAACTATTACAAATAGAATACTATACATATTTTTTTTTGGAATTTAGTACTGAAGAGGTGATAAAAAGTACTAAATAATAAAATACAATGGAACTGGTAGAAATAGAAATCTGAAATTTAGTATGTAGCTTACTCTATTGCAAATAATATGCAATGCATAATTCTTTTGAAATTAGTTCCAAATACTGTAGTATAATGGAACCGAAAGTAATTGAAATCTAGAACGCGGTACATAGATTTAACTATTACAAATACTATGCTATACAGTAATATATTTTTGCAATTAGTACTAAATGGTACAACATATTAACTTATAATGGAAAAGCTAGATATTGAAATCTGAAATGTAGTATGTAGCTTAACTATTAAATTAATATTTTTAGAAAATTGTACTTAGAGTACAAAAATGTCCAACTCTTAGTTCAAATAAGCGTTTTGTTTTATTAAAAATTCGTACTAAATGACTCCAAAAATACTGCACTGTATGAGAAAAAGTATAATTCTAAAATTCTGTATGTAGTTTTGTATATTACACTGTGCAGCACTAAAATCTTGAACCAATCGAGACCCCCAAAATCTTGTAGCTTGTGATGGTGGAAGAAAATCCCCAGCTGGGTTTTGCATTATTAGCTAAGGTTTTTTTTTAAACTAATTTTTAAAATATTCGACTGGGCGGATTTTAGCACAATTTTCGAATAATACGTACTTATTATTGAGTCTATATCTCGTGAAATATTCGAAATATTGCTTTTCTCTCTTAAGCAATATTTTTCCTCTTAACTAGATCTAAAAAATTTCTCTTGAGATAAAATTAATAAAACAACAGCATCATACTGAAAATAGCACGACTGCAAAAAAAAAAAATTAAAATTTCGACATACTATGACATGAAGATAGCCAATAGCAAATCAAACAACTCTTCTTAAAACCCCCATTTTATTGGTTGACTCCTTCACATAGTTATAGCCTCACAAATTCATCAAAATGAACCAAAGAAATCCACTCCCAATTGTATGTTTATAGAAATAAAAATTGCTATGCTTTTTTTCAATAAATAGGTACAAAATTGAAGTAAAAATTAAAATGTTTGGGCCCTTTGGTTTTTTTTTCGAAGACATGTCGCAGCGATATATGCACAGGGTAAACGCAGGAACTGGAGGTGGATCGACCATACATTAAGGAAAAACTGGAACAGTATCACTTGAATGGCATCACCAATGGTCGAGGAATAGTGGTCAACCCAGAGACACCTGGCGACGTACCATTACTCAAGAAGTAAGACAAAGAACCTTACAGCAAGTGTAATGG